ATGATTGATCGAGTTGACTTTACATCGATTAGAAGTAGAGAGATAAAAGAGTCCAGTATTTTAGGTTATTTGATATAACTGACATTAATTTTTTTTAATATTTTCTTTCTGACACCGTTTGATTAATATTTTTTGAAGTAGCACCCTTTCTACTGAGCTGGCAAAGGCGCGTCCCCGGAGACACGTTTTATCCGTGTTTTCGCTGATTTAGATGTCACGTGTGGAAGGCGCATCTCCGGGGACGCGCTTTTCGCCAGCTCGACTGCCACGTATTTTGTTTAATAATAAATATTTTATTTTTATTATTATTATAAATTAATAATATATTATGTAAAATGTTTTGATTATAATGTAAGAATTATCAAATGTATTTTGTTAATGTGTGTTAAAGGTGGAGTGAATTATATACATTAATATGATATAACAATATATGAAAACCAGTTTTGACTTTATTGTAGTTATAGGAAAAATGTATGAAATTATAATACTACACATATGGTTATATTATTATTTTTGATTTTGATTATCGATCTATTAATTTTATCAGTTAATTATTTAAATGTTATCAATCTAGTCATCTCATATCAATATTTAACGAAAATATTGATGCATAAGTTAATAAATTAGTATAATTACATATTTAATCTTCAAGACTTACATATTTTATGAAATTAGTCTTATTGAAAATTTAATTTAATAAATTTAATCCTCCAATCAGAACATGAAATGTGTCATCGTATACATAAATTTTTTAATAACTTTTAATTTTTTTAATTTAATTTTTTTCTCTACTTAGAAGGTGGAATTATTATTATATTTTAAAAAAAATTATAACTAATAATATTAATTATTATATTAAATAAATATATTAAAAATATTTATGTATTTAAAAGTTAAAAAAAATTATTTAGGTGTACATACATTGACAAATTATATAAATGCAATAATATTAAATTATTAGAAACAAAAACATTCATTTAAATACAATATTAATTACATAAGAGTTAACGGTTATATGATGATAACAGAGTTGGACATTTTTTTCTATTGTGCCCGATGTTTCTACAATGCCCACATCGTTTTTGTTCTGTTGACTTCTCCCGAATATCCATATCACAATGTATTCTAGTAGATTTTGGACGACCTGAGTTTCTCAATAGTAATGGATATGGTACAATTGTAAGCCAAGTTTGAATCTCATTTCCTATGGGCGGAAACTCAAATTCATATACCTTGAATACTTGTGAAAGTTGGTATACGGGATCAACATAATTTTTGTAGTCCAAATGCGAATGTGAGCAAGCAGCAATGACATGAGAGCATGGATATTTAAGTGCTTGAAAAAAAACCACAATCGCACCACCTCTCTTGCAGATTAACTCTGAAAGAGTTAGCTTCAATCCCTTGCAGCGGACGTGGCATTTCGGTTACACGAAACAATTCACGGGTGCGAGAAAAATTTGTAACTAACATCCCATTTGATGCAGCCACTTTTTTCTGTAAATCAACTACTAGTCTTGGGTGGTAAATATGTCCGTTTTGCATCCAAGTAAGAGCTTGTCCACCGAGCTTTGCAAAGAGTTGACCCAAACGAAAATAAGTCGTTTTAACCAACGCCGTGACTGGTAAATGACGCGCCCCCTTTAAGGTTGAATTTATTGCTTCAGCCATGTTTGTTGTCATATGACCATAGCGATACCCCCCGTCATATGCATTTGTCCACATTTCTTTGCTGATGTCCATAATGTACTCGCACCCCTTCTTATTTTTGCCAAACAGCTCTTGTAGCATCGACTCAAACCTTTGAGGTAAGAGTTCGTAACCTAAGCCATTAGGAATATGTAATAGTTAATATGAAGTATAAATAAGTAATAAGAAATTGATAGAAAAATTGGGAAAAAGTAACATACCCATCCGCACGACTAACTGACGTTCATCGTTCTTCTTGTATTTTCCGTAATAGTTTGCAGCAATATGACGGACACAATAACGATGTTGAACATGTGGAGGTCTATACATTGTACCCAAAGAGTCCATTGCTGCTTTTATCCCGGCTCCTCGGTCTGAAATAATGCATACTCGTTCCCTGGTGACAACATGTAAACGTAAATTTTTAAGGTAAAAAGCCCAAGACTCAGTGTCTTCTCCTTGAACGAGGGCAAATGCAACAGGAAGAATATTGCGGTTTCCATCTTGGACCAAAGCCAATAATAAAACTTGCTTGTATTTCCCATACAAGAAAGTACCATCAATTTGGACAACTGGTTTACAGTACTTGACTGCATTAATACACTGAGGGTAAGTCCAAAAGACACGGTAAAATTGGCAGCGATCGCGAACCATTCGATCATTCGATCGATAAAATAAGATGCATATGAACCATATGCTGGATCATTAAACATAGTCGTATATGCACCTCCATATGGTATAAAACCCTGCGGGCTAGGCATATAACCTGGCGGGCTAGGAATGTAACCCTGCGGGCTCGGAATGTAACCCTGCGGGCTCGGAATGTAACCCTGCGGAGATGGCATATAAACTGGTGGGATTGGCATATGAAGTGGAGGGCTGGGCATGTACCCATGCGGCATCGACGAATAAGGATGTTGTGGTGGGACTGATGCAGAACCGATAGCGCATTCTCTCCGTCCACGCGTCGGGGGACGATGATATTGAGACGGTTGACGTCTTTCTCGGCGCCTAGGAATGTTAACCCCTCGTGCTTCCGCCGAAAGTAGAAACGACTTCCCATTTTCATTAAACCAGTCCATATAGTTATCCGTAACCATATGACCAGTTTCAGCGTAATATTGTCGAGGGGCCAACAGTGTATATCGGTTCTCCCAAAGCGCAATCCAATCTCTGTGTCTCACCACCTAGTTAACATCTTTCTTTCCTCGTCTATCTATGTTATGCACGTCATCTAAATTCCTAGGTGCTCCAGGAATATATTCCGTACAACCATACTGACAGAGCACGCGATCAACTGGATGCCACTCAATAATAGCATAACATATAAGAGGTATAACCGATATCCATACCTCTAATGACCCACTAAGGTGGGGTGGGATGCAAGCTTTCACTTCATCGCTCGCATAAGGTATCCACTGAAACTGAAATATAAATATACAATTCAAATAAATAAAATATTCTAATTATATCTAGCATTTTAAATTAAAATATTAATAATTAAACAAATTTAAAAACATACCTCAGACCCAGCTTTCGTATCAATAAGTAAACGAATTTCCTCTAACCCAGTAGGTATACTTTTATGGTCCTTTCTTTTCATCGACCACCTATGAAATATAATATAAACTAAATATCACCCTATTTAATTGAAAATATTTAAATCAAAATTTAGTTCGAAAATTACCTCAACAATAAGGGGAATACGTATGGTTCATTCACGATCGGGCATAAGAAAGGCATGCGGAACCACGCCCATAATTGTAGAAGCAGAAGACATCCACCGATAGCAGTTTTCTTATAATTCGTCGCCCGACACATTTCTCTAAAGAGAAATGCCAAAACTGCAGTGCCTCAACTATATCTTCTAACTTCATCAAAATCGATCAGATGCTGCAACCACATACAATGCACCTGGTTGCGAGATTTGTCGGGCATCAATATTCCTCCAATTATTGTGGCCTCATATTTCCGTCGACGGGAAGCCCCAGATGCATAGAGACATCCTCCAATGTAATTGTGGCCTCTCCACATGGAAGGTGAAAAGTGTGTCTCGGGCCTCCACCTCTCAATCAGTGCAAAAATTAGGACAGGTTCGAGTTTGCAACCGCCTATAATTGTTGCAATATACCCGAACCCGGCAGAAGCCAAATATGGCAAAATACGTTCCGGTGTCGGTATACGTGGATTTTTAATAAAAGTCTCTAAAATACGATCAGTATCCTAAATAATATACATTATAAAAAATAAAAATTAATATAAATTCAACATAACTTTAAAATAAAAATAAATTTAAATATTAACATTAATTATAAAAAATATTACCATATCGCTAAAATGTCTGGAGATATGATCAATATCCAATCGCAACAACATTTCGTTTTCCATTATAACTGTAGACAAAACAATATAATTAGCAAAAAAAATTAATAATTCTAAATAAATAATAATTATATAAATATTATTTTAATTAAAAAATAATATTTACATAAATATATTAATATAAAATATAATAACTATTTAAAAAATACTAACATAAAAATAAATTTCTTACCACTAATAACAAATTTAAAACTCAAATAGTTGGAGAATTTGAGTTATATAAGAGAGGAGAATATGATTTTGGTGTGAAGAATGAGGGAGGGTTGAGGGGGTTTATATAGGGGAGGATGAGGGGTAGTTAGGGAAAACGGATGGGCGCATTTATAGCATTTAATGGAAGGCGCGTCCCCGGGGATGCGCTTTCCACACGTGGCAGTCGAGTCAGTGAAGGCGCGTCCCCGGGGATGCGCCTTCCACACGTGGCATCCAACTCAGCGAAAACACGGGTAAAGCGCATCCCCGGGGACGCGCCTTTGCCAGCTCAGCAGAAAGGGTGCTACTTCGGGAAATATTGATCAAACGGTGTCAGAAAGGGAATATTAAAGAAAATTAGTATCAGTTATGTCAAATAGCCAGTATTTTATCCCCTTCGTTAAGCCACTTCACCATAGACTTTTGCCACCATTTCTTCCACAGTTTACCCCGCAATTTAATAATTTCAGCCGTGATATATTAATCGGAACTCCCACTTTGAAGTCTACCTTCAAGAGAATTAATCAAGGCTTCAAGATGAGCAATTGATTTTTTAAAGTTATAATTCATCTCCTTCAACCAAGATTGGATACATTTTTTAGTGCTTTTAAGCAACCCCTCATTTATTATTATGCGCTTCCCCTACTTAAAATCACAGATAGAGTTAGAAACAACCTCCTTAAATCCCTTAATGTCAAACCAATAGTTGAAGAACTTAAATGGTCTAGGGCTTCAATTGTGGTTTTCTTCACATAATACTATGGTATGATGATCTGAAATAGATTCGTCTGATAAACGTTGCGACACTAACGAAAAAGCTTGGAAGAAGGATGGTGACAAGAGGAACCTATCAAGGTGAACAAACGTGGAAGGGCCCCTGTTATTACTCCAAGTGAACGAACCACCATATAGGGGGAGATCAATTAACTCAGCCTCATGGATGAACTCTATAAAAATAGCCAAAGAGTGATAATTCAGCGAAAACCCTTTATTTTCCTCGAGATGAAGGAATGCATTAAAGTCACCTCCAATACACCAGGGGATACTCAAATCATTTAGAATTGAAGCCACTACAAAAAAGAAACACACTTTTCTCAGCCTCTACAGATGGTCCATATATATTCATGAAACCACAACTATGAATAGAACCATTAATCCGACCGATCAGGGCAATAAATTGAGAAGTAATATGTTTTTGTGTAAGGTGAAGGTAATTAGAATCTCAAACACAGGTTAATCCCCTAGCTACCCCACTAGTTGGAGAAAATACAAAGTCAAAAGAGCATTGCCCCCACAACTTTTTACACAGCCTTTCATCTGCCTCACCCAACTTTGTCTATTGAAAGAATGCAATTCTAGGCTTGTGCTTACGAATTAAATTAAACACTGCTCTGACTTTCTACTTTCGATCGAAACCCCTTACATTCCATGATAAAATTGATATATTCATAATTTAAGTATAGAAAAGCCCAAATAAGCAACCCGCACGAAGAAGCTAATAAGAGCCTTATGCACCATGGCAAAGATCTGTTTCCAGATAAAAAACTCTACCAAGTACTACATATTTACCAACTTTAAAAGAAATTTCAAGGGTTTTACAAACCTCACACACCGCTTCTGCTTCCTCAGACAGATTGTTATCAAGATATGTGTCTAATAAGCTCAATCCCAAATTGACCCCCTTTGTTGCTTCACCTTCCATAGAATCCCTAACGACCCTTCTAATGACATGTCGTTGGCTAGCTCGGATGTTACCCTTATGTCGACCCCTAACAATTGGAAAGTAGTTATCGACTTGTGATTCTCTAACAAACCAGCGAATGAGAGTCATGAACCAACTGACCATTTTGAACAACAACAACAAAGCCCTATTCTCATATGTAATGAGATAAGGGGAAGTAGGTTAATAGACTGCCTCCAACACCATGTTGAGAGCAATTTCCGTGGAAGACCTCCGACAATTCAAAAAATTAAAAAATACAAATTAAATACAATGCATGTATAAATAAATAAATAAATAAATACATAATTGAACAGTCTTCATATGTAATCATTCATATACTCGTCTATAATTAGAAGTAATCAATGCAAATAAACTCTGTCTAAAAATCTCTGTATATAGACAAAAAACGTAAGTCCTGTATTAATTTAAAAAGAGGAGAGCCCATCCGAAATACTAGATCCCAAAACGGAATTACTTACCAACTAACTGAGGCGAGCTGGGAAATTCACACATGATAAGCCCCTTTTCATGCAACGCAACCTCATCATTTTGGCATGAGACATCATTATGAAGAGCAATTGGTTGTTTCAGCGGGCATGTAATAGTAATACCCATATTTCGTCTGGGCTTTTATTTCGAGGCCCAAAATATTTTGTTAAACCAAAATATTATTAAATTTCAATAGTCGATGTTACAAAATAAATAGGCCCAAACCTATCCAAACTAAACCCTAAGCCCACAACATTAACTCTCTTCGCTAGCCAAACCCTAATCCAACCACCACCGTCGAACCGTCACTGTTTTCGGCTGATCTTACCAAAAACAATATAAATTAAAAAAAATCAAACTCAATCAAAAATTAATTATCAAAAATCTAAAAAAAAACCCTAAAAATTCAAAGCATTAATGAGAACCGATACCCTTACCTATCATACCCTCACCAATCGCGCCATTCGAATTTGGTGGCAATATGTCACCGTTTTTTTATAAGCACGGAACAAGAAACCTAAAAATAGGGGAACTTTAGGGAGAAAAAGGAAAAAAAAAGAAAGAAAAAAAAGAGAGAGAAAGAAAGTGGGGAACATTTGAACAAGTAAAAAAGAGAGAAGAAGAAAAACTCTATCAAAAGATAAAATATTTTCTTTGGGTTTAGTTTAGATCGAAAAAAGAGAGGATTTAGGGGGGTTTTACCTATCGCATTTCAGATGATTTTGGGGTAAACGAGGGTTTGGTTCATCTCCCTCTTTAGTGCTTCGGTCGTCAAGGATACGGTGGACGAGAGGAGGTCGTCGATAAACGACCATGGGAGGAGCGGCGGCACTATGTGAGAAAATCTCTCTCTTGTATTTAGGTGGCTGCCAAGTAAAAAGCCTCAAAATAACCCGTGTTTTCTATTATGGATAAACTACCCATTAAGTCCTCTTTTTTGTATCATTTGTGATGTGACCTTATTTATATTAATGAATCTTTTGACTTTCGGCCTTGAATATGTGCCTTATTCCATTTTGGTTATCACATTTGATTATTGCTTATATATTTGGCATTTAATTTTTGTTACTTTTAATTTAGTCCTTGTTTTATTGCAATTTTAACCTTTGAAGGTTGCTTTCTAGTTTCATCTTTTAGTTTATTTTTGTATTTGTATTTTAGTCATGCTTAATGCTCCTTGCTTTATTTTAATTTCAGTATTTTATTTTTTAGATTTTAATGCCTTTTTTTTTCGTTTATGGTCTTTAACTCCTAGTGCCTTAATTTATGCCTCTAATCCATATTGTCTATTTAGTCATCCATTTAAGAAGTGTCTTTAAATTCTCTAACTTATAATTTGGTCTTCCCATTTTGTTTTTGTTGCAATATATCTAGATTTAGATTTAGACTTATGCATTACAGCCTTAATATGCTTGTTGTGTGTTCATCTTGGTCACCATATTATATGCCTATTTACTCTTGCATATATATATATATATATATATATATATATATATTATGCCTATTCTATATTCATGTGTACATATTATTTTGTGTTACGTTATTTATAGATGTATGCATTTGTATATTATATTTGGCACGTTTTATATATATATATGTTTTATTTTTTGCATGTTATATATATATATATATATATGTTCTATTTTTTACTTGATTTAAGTGTTACGGATATCTTATAATTTATTTTTTTATTATATTCATTAATTATATTAAACTGTACGTGTACACATGTTGCATATATTTCCTTTTTTATACTATGTATGTTATAAATATATGGATATAATAATCCTTCTCTTTTTTACGTGCATATCCATGAGCATATTTGGTGTGTGTCATATAATTACTACTATTTTGTTGCATTAAATATTAATTTATAAATGACGTATAGGTGTGAACGTATAAATATATTTGTTTGTTCGCATATATATATATATATATATATATATATAGGAATTTAGTTTCATGTATCATTTAGCTTAACATACATAATGTCCTCGTAAATATAACTCGTTTTATCTCATTACTTGATTAAGGGCAATGCTCTTTTATTTTATACCATCAAAAGGATTGTCTCAAGGTTAAGGGTCCATTCTGATGTTATAAAATAAAAGGAGTATCCTATTCAGTGTTACTAAAAATTGATATTATGTAAAATTGATATTATCAAGGAGAAAAATATATATTCATATATTTAAACTGATAGAGAAAAAATCGTTTATGTTCCAAAGACTTTTTTACATCTTTTTAAATATTTCAATATTCATTATCTCCTTTTAAGGCTTGATAATTTGTTAATTAAATCAAGTTTGCATTTAGCATGTCTGTTGTATTTATTTCTCTTTAATTTTCCTAAATATATTTGAAAATAATTGTTTAAAATTTCTTAGAGAAACTTTGATGTTATGATATTCCAATTTGAGTGATGAAGGGTTGTTTCCATGTTCGAAACATAAAAACCCGTTCCTCCGAAAAATTGGAAATATAGAAACATTATTTTTTTATAATATACAATCAATAAATTGAGATTTATCTAATCACTAAAAAAGGATCTTTAATTAAGTTCAATTCGAATTTGTTAATTATATTGCAAAGATAACGACATAATCAACTAGGTACTAATTTTAAAGCGTTGTTATTGCAAAGATAACGACATAATCGACTAGGTACCAATTTTAAAGAGTTGTGGGTGCTAACTCTTCCCCACACGTAACTAACTCTAAAATTTTTGATTAAATAGACTGAAAATCATTATTTTAATAAAAAATTTAAAATCAAATTTTATTAAAATAATAAAATATTTTGGATGATCTAATCACACCCTAAAAAAGATAGATGACGACTCCTCGAACTAATTTTTTTTTTAAATGAAACCTTAAATTAATCGAGACGGCTTATAAAAATAAATTTTTAGATAGTTTCGACAGTAATAACTTGTTGAGAAAGAGAATTAACAATGATTGTACAGAAAATGTATCTCACATTTACAACATATCAGCTGGAGATTTATACAAGCCTGTATTGCTGAGCTGGTTCATAACTGCAAATCAGTTGTAACGGCCTTAACCAATTCTTAATAACCTGCTAACCACTCTAACCATCTCATGCATGTACTCACACCATCATTCATACATACATACATTCACAGTTATTATTCTAACATTCTCCCCGCTCCTTCAACTCTTTCTGTCTTCATTGACAAGGTAACACATGCACTTGATCCCTGAAGACTTCAAATGCTCCCTTTGTCAATGACTTGGTGAATCCGTCTGCCACCTGGTGACACGCTAGAATGTAGTTCACCTGAAGTTGTTTGGCTACAACCTTCTCACGAACAAAGTGAACATCCATATCCACATGTTTTGATATCGCATGATATACCGGATTTGTACTTAAGGAAACCGCGCTCGTGTTATCACACCAAATAACAGGTGCATTTTTACTTCCTACTCCTAGCTCACCCAACAAGGAACTCATCCACGTAACTTCAATAGGAACCTCAGCAACGCTACGATACTCTACCTCCATTGTAGATCTGGAAACTGTTTTCTATTTCCGCGAACACTAGACAATAGGACACGCACCAAGAAACACCACATGTCCAGACACAGACCTTCTGTCATCAAGGCTGCCACCCCAATCAGCATCAGCAAATGCCATCACTTCAAGTGATTTGCTACCTGCACCAGTAAATGTAAGACCATAATTCATTGTTCCAGCTAGTTATCGAAGTATCCTCTTCACTGCAGCTAGATGCAATTCACGTGGAGCATGCATATATTGAGCTGCTTTGTTTACACTGAATGCCACACCTGGTCGCGTGTGACAAACATATAACAACGCGCCAACAATGCTTCAATATTCTCGAGCATCTGTCAATAACTCTCCAGCTTCCTGAGTTAACTTTGGTGATCCTACCATCGGAGTAGCAGTAGGTGTGGCATGTATCAAGTTTGTCCTCTCTAAGAGTTCAATTATGTATTTCTTTTGAGACAATGCCAAATAATCCTTTCTGCGTTTGACTTCAATACCCAAGAAGTAAGATAATTCCCCTAAATCCTTCAAGGAAAATTCCTGATTCAAAGCTTGCACCACACCATCAATAACACAAGACGAACCGCCTGTAAGTATAATATCATCTACGTAAACAAGAATGTATGTACTACATCCTTCATCATCTTTAATAAAAAAGTGAAACATCAGCTCGAGACTCACTAAAGCCCAACCGAATCAAACTGGCTTTTAGCTTGTCATGCCAGTTTCTTGGTGCTTGTCTCAATCCATACAACGCTTTATTAAGTTTGCATACATGCAAACTACCATCATCTACATATTCCTCGAAACCAGGTGGTTGTTGCATGAACACCTCCTCTATTAAATCACCATTTAAGAATGCATTATTCACAAGTTCTTTACAACTGCAATTGAAAGTACTGCATACAACGTAGGAAACTTAACAACAGGACTATAAGTTTCTTTAAAATCATAACCAGTAACTTGTGAATACCCTTTAGCCATAAAACGTGCTTTGTGTCGTTCAACCGACCCATCTGGCTTCTTTTTAACCCTGAACAACCACCTGCAACCAACAACCGTACGCCCTGCAGGCAGTTTAACAAGCGACCAAGTATTATTTCTTTCCAGTGCAGTAAACTCAGCTTGAACGGCTTCTTTCCAGCTGGAAATCTTGACTGCTTCATAAATGTCACTTGGAACTTCATTAGCAGGTGCGATCATATAAGCTTTTGGCTTGAATATACCACACTTACTTCTTGTCAACATTGGATGTCTGCTAATTGTAGCATCATTCATATTTTCTGTATTGCTAACATGATCTTGTTCAGCACCAACAGTGTCTTGATCACCTTGCGAAACTTCACCTGATGCTTGATATTCAGTGCCTGGTACACAATCTGCACCTTCTATCATTCCAGAACCAGAATTGACCCCAGGCAAATTACCAGGTGAACTACTTGAACTACCACTACTACTGACCACTGAATTACGACCAGCTTCTTCAACTCCTCTTTCACTAAGCAATTTACTTACATCGGTTACAACTTGTAGAGAACTGGGACAGCTCCTTATTTTAGATGGGAAAACCACAGAACCACTCTTTCCTGCAAAGGGAAACTGCATTTCATCGAACACCACATGCCTAGTTGTATAGACCCTGCCATCTTCAGCAAGGCATTGAAAGCCTGTGTGCTGCATACTATAGCCTAAGAACGTACAAGGCGTTGACCTAAAATCTAACTTGTGCTTCAAATAGGGTCTCAAATGAGGAAAACAAAGACATCCAAATACCCTCAACTGACCATAATCAGGTTTTTTGCAATAGAGTTTCTCGAATGGTGAAACTCCTTGTAACACTCTTGTGGGAAGCCTGTTTATCAAGTGTACTGCAGTAACTACTGCATACGCCCAAAACTTAACTGGCATGGAAGCTTGAGCAAGTAGGACTAGAGCAAGTTCTATCACATGTCTATGCTTACGTTCGACCACTCCATTTTGCTCTGAGGTATGTGGACAGGTAAGTCTGTGTGTGATGTCTTTCTTCAACAAATAACTCGACAGCCTGCGATACTCCCCTCCCCAATCACTTTGAACAGCCTTTATAGGCAGATCAAACTGAACTTGTACCATCTGCTGAAACAACTCAAATGCATTAATTGTTTGAGCCTTATCTTTTAACAAATACAACCACGAATTCCTGGTACACGTATCAACAAACGTTACATAGTAGTATTTATAGCCATTTGAGACCACATGTGAAGGTCCCCAAAGATTTGTAAATACTAGATGGAAAGGAGTTTCATACACAGTTGTAGATTCATAAAAT